GGTGCTTTGCGCACTTCATGGAGAAGCCAACAGTCCTGATTGGCAATTTGGATACCTTGTCTTGGCTTGGCCGTTCCCTCAGCAAAAAGCAGAAGGAGACGATGCGCCGGTCAGTTGCAAAGAGGTTGGAGCAACTGGAACACAAGTTGGGAAGGAAGTTGAACCTGATCAAAAAGTTTCTTGTCCATTCTTCAGAATCCTTCATAGATCCATTGTTCATATTTTTGTTTGCGCTTGGCCTAGCTATATACTTTCATCATCTTTCATCTTCTGTCATGATTCTTCATGTTTCTTTTCCTGGAGATGTGGATATATCTATCCTGAAATCACAGGCATCATTGTATCCCATAAAACGTTTTATATCGTTTTATGCTGAGTTCAATGACCCGTCCATCGGATAAGGAGTGGTAAAAGCGTCTCCGGAGGGAAAGACTTGGCACGGAGCGCTGAATACACTACGAAGTTCTGCAAGCACTATTCCGAGCTTGGTTTAGGACTTGGGTTTTGAGCAACGCAGCAGAGACAGCAGACCAGTAGATTTCGGAAGATAGCTTCCCTTGCTGTGTCCGAGGGCGCCCGAGCGTGCCGTTGAATGTGATTTGATGTGTAAAGATGTGTAAAGCATTGTAAAGCCATATTTAAAAAAGAACTGGAATGTCAATACACTTGGCATCAATTGGCACCAATCGATACCAATCGATTCATTTTGCGTCGGGGTGCCGTGTGTGGGTGTGTTGGGGATGGTTAGGGTATTTTGGAGCAGTCTGTACAGAATTGTACAAAGGCTCCATGGTGAAATCGGGGCTTGGGAAAGTGACCAAAAAACGTGGCTGACCGGAAAGCGCCGAAGAGACAACTTATCCTCGAATTCCAGGAGTGACCAAGGACAACTGGTACTGAAGGGTTTTGTTTTCCAAGTGTAGTTGAGTTCTGGAAGACCTATGGAATAATTACTCAATCCTTTCTAATGACTACTCTAATCAGAAAAGCTGGCCACACATTGATTTTTCCAGCGTTGTTGAGTTCTTGAAGACCTGTGGAATAATTACTCAATCCTTTCTAATGACTACTCTAATCAGAAAAGCTGGCCACACAGTGATTTTTTTCAAGCGTTGTTGAGTTGTGGAAGACCTATGGAATAGTTTTTAAGCTTTTCTAAAGATTACCGTAATCCGAAAAGCTGGCCACGCAGTGATTTTTTCAAGCGTTGTTGAGTTCTGGAAGACCTATGGAATAGTTTTTAAGCTTTTCCAAAGATTACCGTAATCCGAAAAGCTGGCCCCACCGGCCACAGCCGGTGTCAACCTGCAACAAATCCTTTCCTCAATTCGTGCCTGGACAGGCATCGTCGAAGAGAAAGATTGAGGGCAAGGATCGCGCTGATTTTGCAGAGTTGGCCACAGAAGCTCTCCAGCTGGCAGCGACCTTGGCTGCAGCATACCAGATTGGAAAGACTCCGAACGACGTCTTGGGAGAGCTCAAACAATGGTGGAGATCGGTGGGTTCTCACTTGCTCTTGGTTGAGACGTGTGCAGACGACGAGGAAGACGAGGACAGCCTCCCAACAAGTCAAACGTGAGAACATGTGAGAATGAGAAACCACATCGCATCATATCGCTACTGTATCTCATTATACTCTTTTTGGATCTTGTTGGTTTTCTCACAGCCGCTGGTGGTTTTGATGTTTTGTATGGTTTTGTTACAGTATGTTACAGATTGTTATAGTATTTAATTCTATTTAATTCTCATTGTCCCACAGGATGCAGAAGATTCAGAGACACTGCAAGCAGGAGTGCCAGAAGGGCATGAGTTGATCCATTCAGTGGAGGTGGCAGAAACGGATGTCGTCTTGCACACGGAGCTCTTGGAGGCCAGCGAAGGCTTGCAGAATGGCTTTCTCGATGCGGAGGAGCAGCCCGATGAGGACCCCGTGCCGGATGACTCAGATGAGGAAGTATTGCAACCAGAGAAGCAGCCCAAAGTTGAGCCGCTGTCAGTCAGAACTTTGAAAGATGTTCTGGTCAAAGCTGGTCTGCAGGGCTATCTGCCTGCAAAAGATGATGATGAGTCAAAATTGCTGATCCGCATTCGGAAGATTGCTCCATACATGTCTTCTTTTTGCGGCCTGGTACGTTCAGCAGAGAAGATTTTGTCCAAGGCTTCCATTCTTGGACATGTGCGGATGAAGACTCTGCAGCACCAGCTAGAACATGAGCTTGCCCAAGCCCGCTCAGAGTTTCATTGCTCAGCAATGAGACAGAGCCGCTTTGCATTATGGTGTGACTTCTCCAGTCGGGTGTTGGACGCTTTGAACGATGACTCTGAGGGCAAGGATCAGGTGGCTGAGGTGGCAGGCGGCATTGCCGAATTGCAGTCTCTGGCGCCAAGCTCTTTTGACATTGACGGGTCCCGGTCGTGCCAACTGGTTTGTTGCCGTCCATTTGCAGCTGGAGGTGAGGCCGGACCATTGCGACTAGGCCTGGTTGTTGCCGTTTGGAGAGGCGGCAAAGGCAAGAAGGATTACCCATGGCCAGAAGGCCACTTGAAAATCAATGCGGCCACCAAAGTGCACGTACGCCTGCTGACTCCAACAAACCAGAAGCTGGACGGCAAGGAGGTTTGCACTTGCAGCGCCCTGAGCCCTATCGTCGTCATGGATGCTCTTGGTGGGAGTCTTTTGGCGGAAGTACCTCAAGGCGCCTTTGACTTTGAGTTCCTGTCCGACAAGTTGCAGGTGTTGTTGCCCAAGAAGACTGTGAAAGCCTTCTTCAAGGTTGCCAAGGCAGATGTGCCGTTCGAACCGAAGAAGAAGTCCGAGAGTGGCTTGGCGCGCACCTTCTACACCGAAGATGATTTTGCCAGAACCAATGCCGGTGCAAAGTGCATCCAAAAGTACATGGAGAGCATGAAGGTTGACTACGAAGCCTTGTTCAGTCCTCTTGAAAAGGAGGACGGCAAGTTGTCCTTGAGGAGTGATATCCAGACAACTTGGCCAGAAATCTTGGCCAGATCCACCAGCTACTTCAAGCGCTATTTGAAAAACCACGAGCACTGGAAGGTTCTCAGCAAAGAATACCAGGCCCTGTCGCCCCTTGCCCTCATTTTTGTATATAGAAATCATTAACAATAATTTTATCATATTATTCTAGAGGTTTGTGTGTTCCATTCATCTGTCGGATTAATTTTGAATGAAATATTGAATCGTACTGAATCGACAGTACAGCTGCAAAGCATAAATTATTCTGGGGTATTACCAGTTGTCATGGTCTTGAAGAATAAATATCTTTCACACCTGAATATATCTTATTATATCTTATTATGTCTTACTTTTTGTTTTTTGTTTTCTATTTTCCTTTTGTTAGGTATCATCTGCTACAGTAACCTTATGTCACATTATGTCTTTTTGTTTCGGATTTGACCGGTACCCTTAGGTATGGTCGCCTGGTGATGTTGGAACTTCAAGGTCAGAGCCCCCTACCAAGTGATGATCCTTCGAGGTTCAAACGGTGGCTCATTCAAGTGTATCGTGAGTCACAGGCCCCGTTGTCGATCACTGCCTGAGAGATGAACCGCAGACATCCGCAGACATCCATTTTGGGGATTTGGATGATCGTTTGGGGATTTAATCGTAGATGTCAGCCTGACCATTTATAGATCCAATTTCAAGGATCTTTTTCACCATGCATGGCTAGTGTTTGTAGTGCTTCCCGTAGGTTTCGGTGGACGGCCGGCGGCGCACGCAGATTTCAATATGACTCCATACTATAACAATCAATAGCAGATCATTGCGTTTTTCTAGTTTGACCGGTTGTAGGACTATTTTGCAGATTGTTGCAGATATCATCAGGCAATGTCAGACATCTCTAGTAGTTGATTCTGAACGTTTTTGTTTCGTGGTTGTTTCTTGTTACCACTGTTCTGGCCGCCAAAGAATACCGAAGATCTGAAGCGAATCAACTTAGCTGGCATATGCTAGCTCTAATTATGGCTAATTACCACCGATGATTTCCAGATCATCAAGATTTGCAAAAAATAGACTCAGACAGAAGATGCTTGTGGGGTTGAGGAGAAAAAAACGTGCAAAGATGTGCAAAGCTGTTTTCAGTCTGCAGAATTCATGTCATTGATTTGGCCACACCCTTCAGACATCCTACTAGAGAGACTATAAAATTCTTATATACTTTCCAACTAATTATTCCATGATGCCTGAGGTATACCTTTGCTATTATATAACATGCTTCTTAACAATTATCCCGCGAACTGCTGAGTTCTAGGAATAATTTCTGCAATCCATCTGGAAGGTACCAGGAATAATACTTTATTATTCCTGCCGGTATGGAGGGTATAGGTATGCTAGGGTACAGGCTATGTTCGGACCTCGCCGACTGGCGCACAAGCACTGGTGCGACTTCGGCGCCGGCGACGTCGGGGTCAGCTACGGGGCACATCCATGTTTTTCCATCCCCCGAAGAGGGAGCTGGAACTTGGAGCGACCACGGGACGTTCCCCCAGCCCTGGGCTAGTTTACAACACCCAGACACGACTAATGGGACTGCCATATAATTATACCTATACATTGACCCCTCTGGCACCACCCGCAACTGATTGGCAGTCCTATGGCAGTCATTAGTCGTGTCTGGGACCATTTACGACGGAATATGTCTTGCAACGCTTGACGAAACCTGGGAAGAACGGAGCAAGAAGCTCCTAGCGAGCTCTGACTGAGACGAAGCTTTTACGACGCACGCCGGAGCAAGCTGTGCCCGTAGCCGTGGGTGGTGCTGGTCGTATTTCGGAGCGACGACCCGGGCTTACGAAGAAGCTTGACACACGCATAATATATCATAAATATTATATTACTTATATAATAGACAGCTTCTTAATTGTTACGTTCGTAGCGATGGCCTCCAACCCAATAGCGATGGCCTCCATCTGAAACAGGGAGCCACAACTTGGAGAGATCACGGGACGTTCTCCCCGAACCCCTTGGCTCAACTCAGGAAGGTCTACACGCGGAACAACTTCGACATCGTCAACGGCTTCACAGCCACGCTGCTCCGCATGTCCCCTGACCTTGTCACACAGCCCGAGGCCGTCAGCGAGCAGCTTGGGCAAGGATGGAAAGGGCAAGGCCAGCTGAATCGCCAAGCATAGGCTTTCAACCCGTCATTCGGGTATATTCGGGTCTAGTCTGACTTGTGTCAATGACTATCACCCCAGCATCCAAAGAGGAAAACGAGCAAGTGTGAGGAATTGGCTTTGTCCATGCTTCATCACCCCGCCCCCCAGCCAACGGCTGTCTCACAAATCTAGACAAGGACCTTGGAGTGGATTTTTCAGATCAAAATCCTGTACCCCACCACATCCACATTGGTACATGAACAATGGTATCATTACGGTATCATCATTTGCTTGCCCCGCTTCTCGTTTCGGACCGCTTCTCGTTGCTTGAACCACGAAAGTGTCCAGGGTTTCCTTTGAGGGTCTTCACTTCACAGCCATCGGTCTCTGGCAAAGCAGGTCCCACCTGCTTTGGATCAGATTCAGAACTGAGCAGATCTGCAAGGCCCCATAGAGAAAACGGACACCGGGTCCCTTGGCCTCCAAACGATCGGGACGGCCGACATGAAAACCAACCTAAGAAGCACCAGTCATGTAGGCCATTGTTGCTTTCATTAGTAGGTCTACCTTCATTTGATAGGTCCTTTGCGTAGGCACCTTCATTGATAGGTGCTTTGGGTACAACACTCAGTAGTCGACCCTTTTCAGACGACGTGCACATTGTAGCACCTGGCGCGGCGGTTGGGCGGGCGTGCTTCCGGGCGTGCTTCAGTCATAAACCCTGAACCCTAAACTCTATGATGTCATTATGCACCCAGTTCTCTCTTCACTGAGGATTGCTTATTTGACCGATGGACGCGCCTCCCTAGCGCTGGAAGCCAACCGCCGCTGGGTGGGGGTTTATGAATCAAGAGTCTACATTGAAGAGGCTTTACACTCCATGTTTGGTGGGATTTCAAGGGTCTACATTGAAGAAGTTTTGCAATCCATGTCTATAGATGAATTCCAATGACTTGGTTTAAGTGAGTCGAGCGAGGATAGAAGCCACCGAGGTCCCGGCAGTTCCAAGTTGGGGGTGCTTCTTTTATTTGGGGCACGGGTGTTCGTTCTCCACTCACTTGGAGTCCAAACATCATATTCATTCATACTGTATTTCTTAGGCCTCCAGTCGTACCTTCTTTTCGAAGGTGGGACTGGGGTAGGTACCTGGAGGGTCCAATACCTTCTGAGGAGGTACGACTGGAGGTGTAGGGATTCTATTCGATATGTTTTGGTGGAGGCCATGCTGACCAATAGAGCCCCGATGGGTCTTTCATTGAATAGCAATAGGCGTCATGCATCGTCCTTCCTCAGCGTGTCCCTGTGGGACAGCTGCGTTGTAGCCAGACGCTGCCGAGAGAGAGAGAGAGAGAGAGGCGTCAGCAAACTGGTGCCCACCTACAAGCTGCGTTCCAAGGATTTTAACGGCCAGGGCGATGGAATTCCGAAGCCAACCTGGACTCACCAGCGGACCATCTCGGACCCCCGTTGTGTTCTTCTTCGGTTCGTCCGACTCGTTCAGTCCCACAAGGGGTTCCCTGTCTGGGACTGGCGTAGGACTGCCCCAGAAAGACACCCCTGGCACCACCCCTGGCCGTTTCTCGGCAGTCCTATGGCAGCCCCATGGAGTGGCTCAGTGTTATTTCCGTGTTCTGCCAGGAAACTATCGGATTCGGATGTGGCTCTTACCCACGCTCATGCAGACACAGTGGTACATCGCCACGCAGGAAAGCAGCGGGCGCCTGGTCGGTACCTAAATTCAGTGGGCGCCCGGTTCTTCAAAGTGACCGTATGATTCCATCGTTTGAGTCCACTTAGGCCATTTAGGCCTACCACTTAGGGACCCAGTCTCAGACTGATCCAGAATGGTCACTTTGAAGAAGCTGGTGGTTGGCACTGGGAACGACAGCGAGTGAACATGAATGAGCCTTGCTATACCCCAACAATCCATGTATTGAATATTTTTGAACATTTGCCTACATCTGGGTGATTTTAAGATGTCTTAAGGGTCAACGTAGGTTACGATGCCACATAGATTGAGTGTTTGGGATAGTAGGGTCCTGACACTTAAAGAGCCTCGGCCCCTTCCTGAGAGACTTGAGTCCTCATCTTGCACACATTTTTGGTTATATAGCTGAACGGAACATGGTTCCAAAAAGTCCTATGGGTCTACCATGGTGATTATTCTTTCCTTTGGGGGTTGTTGGGCTTGGCGCACGTCGATGTGAAACTCGAGCAAAAAAACTTGGGAACAACACTAAAGTCCAACGTCATGCTCCTGGGCTTTTCGTGACACACCTGTTTTCATGTGCATGGGTCATTGTCCTTTGCCGCATGGGCCCACTCACCGGCCCTTGCTTTCCGCGCTTACCGACGCCACGACGGTGGATGGACCCAGCGAAGCGATCAGCCACGACCCATAGCGAGCTGAGTTCCCTGACCAATACCAACGACGGCGAGATCAGCGCACCCACCGCGGTCCCGCAGATGTCGTTGTCCGTCAGCCGCGTGGCGCCCTGGAGGGAGAATTGGCGCCGTGGTACCTGCAGTGTCGGTCGTGTTTGCCTTGGCCAGAGGGAGGTGCTGAGTCCTACCACTGCCAGCCCTAGCACCCTAGCGGTGGTTTTATGTTCCATACTACGGCACAACCTTCCGCCCTCCAAAAGCCAGACACAGTCCTCCGTCCTCCGTCCTGGGCAAACACTTGAGGGAGTGTGAGTGGGCAGACAGCCCCACCAGAAATAGCTATTCTCGTCCTAGATCCTCGTCCTCGTCATCGTCGTTCTCGTCGTCGTGGTTGTGGTCGTCGTAGTGGTGGTGGTGGTGGCGGTGGTGGTGGTGGTCGTAGTAGTAGTAGTAGTAGAAGTAGTAGTAGCAGCAGTAGCAGCAGCAGTAGCAGTAGTCACGAAAGGTAGCCCTTTAGGGGATACCTTGAGTTTGTCTTGCGAAGCAAGTGTTGGGACGTCCGGGTCTAATAATTGATCGCTCAATTCAGACCCCCCCCCCCCCCCCCCCTCTAAAATCAATTCTCTCCTGGAGAACGTCTTCGTGAGCCTCTCATGATTTCAGGATAGTTGAAACCCCCTTGAACATTTAGAAAGAGTGAATATGAAATTCTAATCACGAAAGGTGTTCCCCGAGGGGATACATACCTAGAGTTTGTTTTGTGAAACACGTCAATTCTCTCCCGGGGAGCGTCTTCGTGAGCCTCTTATGGTTTCAGGATAGTTCAAATCCTATGATGTTCCGATTCAATGCTCACCGATGATCTGAGCCATGGGGCAAGTTTGTTTTCCTAAGAACCTTTTTTGAACATTTCGAGAGCATATGTTTGAACATTTAGAGTGCATATGAACATATATTTACGAAAGGTCGCCTCCGAGGGGATAAATCACCATGTCGAACATTGCATTTTTGTTCCTGCCTCTCGCGTTCTCTTCTCTTCCCGCTGTCCTACCTTTCGTGTCTCCCTCCTCTCAAGTAGTAGTAAGTAGTAGGTGGTGAGTAGTAGGTAGTAATTACTTGGTATGTAGTACGTAGTGGTAGAATAGAAAGGAAGCTCAGTTTCATTTTTTCCAGGGCACAAGTTTGTGCATGATTCCGCTCCGCAAACAATTCATATAATTCAGTTTGGAGCCATGATTGTGGTGAGATATTGAAAAGATTTGAAAAGGGTTTTTGAGAAAGGCTTTCAGGTCTGAGTTCCAGGAAGCAACCAATATTTTGAAGAGGTCAAGTAAGGATCTGAAAGAGAAACGAAAGCAAAACAATTGAACGCTAAAACAAACTTGAATAAAACAAATATACCTGCGAGAAAGCTTTTTTTTTTTTTAAATATGACTATTCCGTCATATTCCGTCCCTTTTAAACAGATCAATCCGGGTAAATATCAATCATTCAAGCATCAATCGGGGTGCGAAAATTCATTTCAGGAAACCAGTGATATTCCCTCCTCCTTGACTCGTTGGAATTGAACACATCGCCCCCTACATCGCCGCCTTTCACCAAGAAATGGAGACTAGGTGCTGGTTTCGGACCGCGTTTTTGGTTCAATCCTTCCTTGGGCTGAGATGTTCCACCACGAGGATGGTTCTCACCCACCCAGGAGAGGTGAGTTTCACCCATCTCAGGTGAGCCGAAGCCCACCGAATGCAGCCGCTCGGCCGGGTCCAGGGTGCTGTGGAGAGTTACTTCCGCATCAGGAAGTATGTGGATCGCCTGCCCCAGCTGTTTTTGGGTGAGTGGCGCAGATCGAGATGCCGTGTTAGACTTCTTGATGTCCTTGAATTGGCACGTACACCCCGACCAGTCGGTGGCATATGTGGAACTCACTTTTCTTTTTTGTGCCCGGAAGTTCAGTCTCTCCAGTGTCTCTTCACCAACTGGAACCTTTTTGGATGTCTTGAAGGTGGTCAAGCGTGTTTGCTCCAATCTTTACCAATTTGGTGAACAGACCCTTTTGCCCGGAGTGCACAACTCCACCGCGGTGCATCATTGTGGCCGTGCTATTCCAAAAGGCTGTATCCAAGGTGGACGACCATACATTTCTGGATCAGAACTTCAGAGATTTGCTGCCTTGTTCCTCGATGGCTGTACGCAAAGCCTCACGACGTGGTGCTTCGATTTCTCGCTTTGTGTTGCTTAAATTAGGTGCATGTTCCTGTTTAGTGACTATTTTCCTGCCGGACCGACCAGAGTGTCTCCGGTAGCGCGTCGTCGACACGAACGCATGAAGGGTGAACAGGTAGAAAACGGTGGTGAAGCATGATTTGCCAGGGAAAACTGAAGAAGGGCCACTAGAGCAGCTTGAAAAAGCCCCCACTGCCCAAGAGGGAAGTGGGAGCAGTGCGCTATGCCTGAATTCTCTTGCTGAAGGGGTCAGTGAGTGTTCTTTTGTAGATCTGTGGGGCTTTGCTGTGGAGAGGGGGGGTCCATCCATGGGGGCTTTGGGTCCGGAGCCCGGGCTTGTATAGCGGAGGACCGACACCGTCCACTGGACTCGGCCCACCACAGCCATGATCTGGGAGAGATGACTGGACGTGTCGAACACCTGGCCTTTTCAAAGCTACGAAAACGGATCCCGCAATCGGTGAACCGGGTCCCAGCGTCTGAACCGGCTCCCGGACGGCGACTGCCGGGCGACCGGACGTCGACGTCCAGACCTATAAGTCGACCGGGTCAACCGGAAAAGCGGCTGACATGACGTTTGCGAAAAGTTCACCTGACAACTGAAAGCTTGCATTATCAATCAGTGACATACTTTACCAGCAACAAGTGTGCCACATGCACCAGTTGCCTTCGGTACTGTTGTTCTAGTGTCGGAAAAACGCCTACCAGCAAGCGGACGATTCATTCAGACTCACGCTTTGCGGTGTTTGGTTGGAATTGCGGATGCCCATGAAGAAAAGGCGCGTGAAACCACTCCCAGAATCACTTGAAGTAAGTCCAATGGGCTCATTTTGCTTCTTTCCTCAGCCACCTTGCTGCCCCAGTTGCATTGGAATTCAGCTGGCTGGTGAATTCAGGCATGTCACGTTTTGGATACTATACAGTAATTGAGAGTAGGTTCCTGAAGCACCACGTATGAATCGCATATAATTGAGTGAGGAAGCCAGCTAGCTGAGGATTGGGTTCTTTAGATGTTTTGAGCTAGCTGAGGAAGCAACCAGTGCCTGACGAATTATATAATCTATACTATGTTTGCATCAATTCTCTACTTGAAGCAAGCCAGCAAGAAATGCCTGAGAGTGATTGTGCATGCAGAAGCATGACAAAGAGAGCCAACAGTCTGCATAGCAGTCCAAACTGTGTCGTAGCGGGGCATCGGCGTGCAAGGAGACACTCACCTCGCGAAGCTTAATAAAACCCCACACATGAGGTTAATGTGAGGAGGATGCCCACACATCAGGAGGTTCATGAGGAGTTCCGCACATGTGAGCATTGGAGAAGTGTCCAAACCCTAGGGCTTCACCTCCAAACGCTAGGTGGGCACAACCCCCAGGAGCCCAAACGGGAAAGAACATCCAAGAAGCCTGAACTTCCCCCCAGAATCGCCCGAGGCGATTTACCTCACAGTCACCGTGAAAGCTGGCGCTGGCCAGTTGCCCTTCTCAAGGCCGACGGGTCGAGTGAGCGACGGATGGGACAGGTCGACGAAGGGTGTGAAGCCGATCGGAATCATGTGACTTTGACACATGGAAATTGATCTGTCCAGGTCCGTGGAAGGAGTTTGATCTAAAACGACCCTCTTAGGTGCCCAAAAAGGGGGAAGAATCACAGCTAGCATGTGGCGACCGTGGGGAAGGAGCTGGCGCTGCGTTGCCTCCGCGCTTGGGCCGAACTCCGCGGAACGCGCGGGGAGTCTTTGGGACCTCCGCTCGAAGCGGAGCGCCTGAGCAGTGCCGAAGACCGGACCTCAGTCAGTTCGGGGCATGTTGGAGCACTGTTTTCCAGAGCAAGGGCAACGGAGATCCGCAGCGAAAAACCCCCAGACACCCGCACGCCTTAAAAAGCGTCGCCGGCTGCCCGGTTCCGCATCCAAAAACGCGAGTCGCCAGCGGCCGTGGCATGGTCACCTCCGCGAAATCTGAAGGCTTTTGCTACTGTTGCCCTACAACTTCATCCCGGTGGGCAGCCAAGTCCCGCAGCTCGTCAGGTCGAAGATGAGATGGCGCCGACGAGTTCGGAGGGTGTGGGGGAGCTCCCGTTCCCACCCTCTGGAAGAAGGAACATAGACCACAACCACTGGTGGGGTGTTCCTATTGGCCCCTTTCCATGAACCCCAACCTTCGTGCCATCGCCGGCGATGCCGGAGAAGAGATGGGGGACGAAGCATTTGGGCGCCGCCTTTGCCTATCCTAAGCGTTGCAGATCCTGGACTTCCTTCAATTCCTCCAATCTAGTAGCGATGGCCTCCAACCTAATCTCAATGGCCTCCAACCTGATAGCGATGGCCCAAAAGCAAATAGCGATGGCCTCCAATCTAATAGCGATGGCCTCATATGGCCTCCAACCCAATAGGAATGGCCTCCAACCTAATAGTGATGGCCTCCAAAAGCGATGTGCTGCAGATCCTTCAACTCCATGTCACCCCGTTGCCCTCCATGCTTTACCATGCTCAGTAACCATGCTTTTACATACGCATTTCGAATATTGTACTATCCCAGACACTCCATGTATGCCATATATGCCTACATTGGGGTGGTTTGGGGGGTCAATGTAGGCATATCTGGCATACATGGAGTGTTTGGGTATATTTATGGTTGATGCAAATTTTGTGTCCGGTCCCTTTCGTGAGTCATGTGAGTCATGCCACTTCATCAAGTGAGGAGCACTGGTCGTGCAGTTCTTGAGCTAGATGTGACCTCCACGAACCCTTTGGAAGAGGAGATGTCCTACCAGCTGCGAATGAGACTGGGGCATCGACTTATATAGATGGAATGCTTCGATCAACTTTGTCAGTGTGAGAAAGCTACTTGAGTCACGTGAGGGTGCCAAAGTAGTAAGTTGCAACCTGCACCTGGTCCCTTAAAGTACTCCAATACCAAGTGCCTAGAAACTTTATAGGGTCAGACTCCCCCTTTTTTGGTTGGGTCCTCATCGGTTTTCTTCCGGGACATGGGTGATGGGTGATCCTTGCTGCTGCGATGCGATATGATGCGATGATTCTTCGCAAGGGGGGGGCCGAACCCGCTTGTTTGGTGTCGGATTTGGTGAGACATGGACCAACCATGGTGAGTGTTAAACATGGCCTTCGCTTCATTTCCAAAACACTGTCTAACACCGTGTTTGCACTAGGGAATGAGAGAATACGATGAATGGTGCTGCGGGGTGACATGCTAGCTGCCGCCAACCCAATCCACGGAAATCTTCAAAGCACTTTATGACCAATCAGTGTAGAATTCCACAGAAATCACTTCCCAAGCCATTGGGTGCCGCTGACAGTTTTTCATTATGCATCGCATCCAGTTCGGGCTCATGCGTGACAGGTTTTCTCCTGCGCCGATCCATTCGCAAGGGATCCAGGTCTCCCGGTGATTCGTAACCTCAGAACGCCAACACGCCCAAACGCTCCTAACAGAGGTTGAAGAAGCCTATCAACATCTATAATAACATCGATAAACTATCCGAGAGGTGCAGGGTTTTATGGGGGTCACTTAGCCTTTCTTGGTGGATGAAGCTATGTATCATCGCAGCCTGCCAAGCTTTTTGAGCTAATTTTATACCATTAATATAGAAGGTAACATGGAGTATACAGTACAATCCATCTAAAACTTACGAAGTGTATCCTTGCTGGGCGGAGCTGGGCGCCTCAATACTCAGGCTCAGCCGCTCAGCTCCGGCGATACCGAAAGCACCAGACCGAAAGCACCAGACCGACGTCCGACACATGGGACTGCCGGACCGATCAGTTGAGGTGATGCCAGGGGGGTCCATGTATATACCCTGGGAGTCCAGTCGACTATAAAAAGAATGGTCTGACAAACGGGGACCTGATTTCGGGACCTTCCTGACACCTTCAGCCGGTCAAAATATAGTCGAACTGGACTTCCAGGGTATAGGATAATATAGGCATATATGGCAGTCCCATGGAGTGTCTGAGATAAGGACCGTAGCGAGTGAGTCGCGATGCCGCTTGGGCCGCTCAGGCTGACACCGAGCCGCAGCAATCTGGATCCACGCTGGTTCGTGCTGTCAAGGAGTTTGCAAGTCGATGTGACTTGGGCGAACAACTTCCCCAAAGCTTGGGCTTGTCCAGATGCCCATAGCTTTTTTTTGAGCTTCCGAGCGTGGGCGAACCATGTTACAGATGTTCATTGTTTTCTCTACTGGCAGCCAGGCTGCCTGGCTAGAGCACCAAGGCTGTGTCCTTCCTTGTGTGTGTGTGTGTGTGATGAAAGCGCTCCCCGTGAGCTACTCATGGTTTTTGAGTGAAAACCACCAGGACCTGGGTCGTTCGGATGTCATGGTCATGTTCTGTGACATCGGGGCGTTCTGCCATCCAGGTATGATTATTCCGGGGAAGTTTTCAGGGAGTATCCCTAGGGCTCCTGGCCCACCTTGTGAGGTACGGTGGTTGGGGTGGGTGCCAGGGGGGTCTAACCACCTTCTGAGGATATGGTTGGAGCCCTATAGGGTATATAAAAATCCATGATACTTTATGTACGTGGGTGGTGGTTTCAGATACGTTTATTTTCAACCTGCAAACTTGGGGATGATTGAACTCACGGACTAATATGTTTCAAGTCAGTTGAAACCACCAACACATCTTGGACCACGAAGTCTTGACCCCCTGGGTTAGGGCCCTTGGGTGCCAGCCAGATGCAGATGCTGAGCGAATTGGCTCCTGGTTGACCTCAAGTGAGGCAGGTTTTTCCATGGATTTCCGATTTTCCTGATCACTGATCTTTCAATTGTCAACCGTATCACCCGTATCAAGGGACAAAGACAAACGAGAGAGGTGGTAGATCCGGGATGTCGATCCCCTTCTTCTTTCAAGCGAGAGAAACAGCTCCTTGTGGCCGACCGGGACAACTTTGTTGCTTCACATGGGTTCTGGACATTAATTCATGGGTTCTGGACATCCATTTATGGGTTCTGGACATCCATTCATGGGTTCTGGACATCCATTCTCTCAGGACAGCACCCTCATGCTTCAAAAACATGTTGCTTTGGGATTGCCACGTTTTCCTTGAACTGCTGGGATGCACACCCCTCATCACGCCTCTCTGGGGTTGTTATGGGGCGTGCTTTAAGGTTCTCTCCCTTTAGTGCCTTGCCTGATGTCCAACTTCTTCATGGAAAGGGGGTAGCCCTCCGATCATAAGTTCTGATCACACTGTTGGGTTGCTTTGGAATGATGGTCTCCGCTTGCGCCCGCTACAAGTCCAAAAGAATCCAAAAGACTATTTTAAACATCCTAAAACTGCTGAGACTTCAAGGCCTTTTGAAACATGGTCGACCTCGTCTAAAATCCTGGGCAAAACAGTGGTTGTTCGGTAGATGCTATTAACTCAATGGTGGTTGCAAGCGTAGTGATACCATATTTTTGTTCACCGGAACGTTTCCCGATGCTCAACATTGGGTCCCTGTCCTTCAGGACGAGGACCCTTCAGCATAGGGCTTCAGATTTCGGGAATGACCGCTGTTAAGAGGAGCGAAAGTTGCCACACATAACCAGTTCCTTTCAGCCAGCTTGTTGGACGGGGCCGAGTGTTTGGGACTGAGCCGCTTGTTCAGCCCTGAACCGGAACCGACATGGAAGTGCTGCGGGCGAGACCTACCCAGGAAAAGTGGATCATCATGGATAACCATGGATAACCTGCCCAAGCCTTTTTTGGTTCGTTGTTTCCCCACTAGACCAATTGCAAGGCATTCGGTTCTCCCAACATGTTCACGTAGTCAGTCCTCCAGGGACACTTCTCGGATCGAGTCAGTCCTAGGAAGTCACGGGAGAAGTCTCTGACCAGATCGTTGGTTGGAGCTTCTACGAGGGTTTCGGCGTGGAACCTTGCCCTGTGACCGCCAGGCCGGGCCGAGCGAACGAAGAAGGTGTCCCAGTGTTTCTCAATGAAAGCAATGCTAGCTGGTGCTCAGGAGGGAGGTCGCGGGGGTTATCCACACACAGTATGTATACATAATTAGTATATATACATACAATACATATAATATATGTAGTATTTTTTTACTATTAAACGCCTAGCCAAGGAGCTACAGGGAGTTCCCCCACCCCTTGCTAGAATAATACTGACATTTTGTGAGGTTACGTATCACTGGTTTTAACTTTCAGACCTCTTTACGGTCAGCATCTGGGCCCACACTGCCTAAGAGTTTTCAGAATCGCCGCGATCTGTGACTTCAATTTCCAAAAGATTTGAACTTTTGAGTTTGGGATTGAGTCTAATTGACCTTCGGAATCGCGTTTCGAGGTCGTTTCTCGCGTTTTTGACCGGAAGTCTTCTCCGTTCCGCTACCGGACATCATCCACCAGCGAGTGGTTTACAAAGGATTTTAGGCCACTTTTGACCAGGTCAGGTCAACCTTTTGTTGAACGGTCCAAAGGAAGGCGGGAAAGGGATAGGGAAAGGGATGAGCAGGGTGTTGACCTAATCCTTGGAGCCAACCTCTTCGGTCCAGGCCCGCAAACCTGAAACACTTCCCCGGCCGTCTTCCTTTCAAACAGAAAGGTTGACCCGGTTTCTTGGTGTAAACATCCTTAGGAAAGCAAAGTAAAGCAGCCAGCACCTTCATGTCGGGGTCACCTATGGAAGCCCCTACACTACTTAGCGATCTCCATTAAACATCAGCAAACACCCCTTGAAGGTCCAGGAAGGATTGTTTGGTAAACACAGTTCCATCAATGGTGCGCCAGGAAGCCTAGGGCAGGGCATTGAATCAGATCCAGATTCTGTTGACCATCTCCATGCCATAAACCCTCGTGTTTGCTTTCAGTAATGGTCTTAGTGATAAGAGCTAGGTGCACAAGGAGAGCCCTGCAGTGTGTAAGCTTGCGGTGCTGACTTTGGTGCTGCGAAAGGTGCTGACTTGATGGAACACCTTTTTTAACAGTTGATTTGGGTCAAGGGCATTAGGGGCTTCTTTGGAAAACGTTCCCCAGGCCGGGGCCCTCAACACGTCGAGTCATGGCATTTTTGGCGCGTTCAGCTTCCGTTTGCGGAAGCTCCGCGTAAGCGCAGAAGTCGCATGTCCATCCATGAGTAGCCCACTTGGCTCCCTAAACCCAAAGCATTTTGCTAAACTGCAGTGGCGCCAACGGCAATGCATTGCAGACCAGGTCAACAACAGCGTCAAAACTAAGTGTCCTTCCTGATGTGTATGAGCCAGTCGGTAATTTGCTTTTGCAAGTGTAGCAACTCTTGAGGCTCCATTGTTGTCGCGTAAGCATATTCTGCCAAATGCAGCTGTGCAAAGGGCGGCGTAAGCATCTGGGTCCACCCAAATGCTGCGTAAGAAACACAGAGAACTGGGATCGTGGGGCTGCCACCGGTGATGGTGGGATGCCTATATCTATGAGAACATGTGAGAACTGAGTGTGCCAGTTATATACAGAAAAGGTTCTTGTTTTAACCAGAAGTTGCAGCCTCGCAGCATCCAGATATGGAGCAATTCCAAGCTACACTGGCTGGTTGGCTTTGACCTTCAAGGCCAGCTTGGCAGAAGACCAAACGGGGTTGGAGCAAGTGGAGGATTGGGACACTTTTCTGATTCAAGAGGACAAACTTTTGAACTCAGAAAAGCCTTGGAGTTGGAGTTGGGGTAGGTTCTGGGGGCCGATGCCACATAACAAGAAAGCCCCAAGTGAACCCTCCCAAGTATGTCGTCCTCGCTACCGAAGAGATCCAGGAAATGCCCCTCTTCCAAGCGTCAGTCCCTAGGACTCCTGGCCTAGCTCCTGAGGTACGGTGGTTAGGGATGGTTAGGGTGGGTAAGACAGCAGGGTGAAAAACCACCTTCTCAGCATGTGGTTGGAGTTTTAGGGATTGATCACACAGGTGAGTTCTACACTTGGTTGTGTGTCAAGAGCCCCACGAAGAAGACAGAGGAGACAGACATGGGATGGAAAACGGCCTCAAAAGGATTGCCAGATTCCTCTACAAATGGGGGGTGCCATCCACTTCCATGATGATTCCATGGGGGTGTAGATGGATTTCGTGTGAGGGTGTGATAGGGTGTGATGACTTGGTTTTAAGCTTTTGATATATATTTTTGTGAGGATATTGAGACGCCCTGGACCATTGGATATGGTCAGTGGTTTGGTCTATGTCCTTCTTCCAGAGGGGTCCTTGCAAGGTCTAATTGACATATACAGGAGCTAAGGAGCCTGTCCAGGAACCTCTTGCGTCCGATACACACCCTTTGAATGGGATGCACGTGGGACCTTCCAGAGCAGATTTCGAATCCATGCCCGGGTTGGCGCAAACCCCGGCTCGGTCTGAAACAGACTTCTAGAGTATCAGCAACAACGCTAGCCGCTAGCGGCTTATATAGGTCACAGACAGCGAGAATGTCAAAAGTATGTTTATATCAGCAACCAGTGGTTCGAAAGACTTTCAGCCGTAGACTGGCCGACAGGCTGCGAGGGGTCCAGGGTTTGTAAATGAAGTCGGCAGGGAGGACCAACCAATACCAAGTTGGACTCTTGAAGAGCACAGAGGCACAGAGGATCAACACCTGGACACCTGCTTCGCTCTTGATGTGGACAGTTGTCCTCGTTTGGTGCTTCGTTTGGTGCCGGTTGAGACACTTCATGACACTTCACATCACATCATCACATCCTTCACATCACCTGTCACCCTCCGTATTGCACCTGTCCTCCTCGCGTTTCACATCCTTTCCGTTTCCTCCTTCACCTCCTCGCCCGCGGAGAGACCGCCGAGGTCCCCGATGCGGCGAAGGGCCGCTTTGCTCTCTTCACGGCGCCGCAAAACTTTCAGATCCGCTGCCCAGCCATCAATCAGGCGAAAGCGAGCGGGCGAGCCGCGATGAAGCCCGGGAAGAACACCGGGAGGGGGGTGGAGATGGCTGGGCTGGGCGGGAGATGGCGGTGCCATGGCCATGGGGTGAGTGAAAAGGCTCATGAGACAGAAAGGAGCAAAGGATCCAGTCTTCGAAGCCTGGTTTGGCTGATCAGGTGATGTTTTGCCTTTCCCTATGGTTAAATCCCCATCCTGGGGAATTGTACTGTAGTTTGTTTTTTCTTCCCCGGTTCCTTAAACAAATCCAAGAAAGGCTTGGGGGGTCTTTGAAATGCTTTTGATTCGTTGAAGGCCTACGACATCCCCTATAATTTGTGTAGACTCTCCATTATCTTTTACCCCTCCCAGCATGGAGAGGCTTTTCAGTCCATGGTTGGCGGTCTTGTTTATCAGGACCATTAGACATCCATGGTTGGTTTCTGGTGTTGCAAAATCAGCCACATCGAGTTTGTCTTTGTATACTGTATGTCAGTATGTCTATATACGATTTCAGAAAATCGGAGTGGTTCATGCTTGTGAGTAATGCTCACAGGAGGTTGCTACAGAAGCTCCTCCGCAGTAGCTAGCAGCTGGCCTCGAAGTGTATCACCTGGTGCTTGCCGCCGATGGCCTTGTGATTACAGTGCATTTGTGATGCATTTTCAGTCTGGCAGAGAAATCGCAGCCTTGGCCGGGGGATTCTTTGGTAAAAGGGATTCCAAAACCTCCAAATGAACAGTCCTAAAGCATCCTAAAGCATCTATCCTTTGAAGGAGGCTTCTTTCATGTCGTGGCTTCCAAGACCTTGCAGCTTAGCAGATCTTAGCACATGCCGCATGCCTACCTGTTCCTGCTATGAACTCAGTGTTGCCACAAAGCGTTCTTGTTGCCATCGCACGCTGCGCGGGTGGGGCGCGGGTGCAGGCCAAGCTGCCTTGCGAGCCTTTCCAGCTCCTATGAGCTCATGCTTAGCTGGCTGGTGCGAGGGGGTGAGGAAAGAGCTGAGGGTCCCTCCAGTGAACTGAATCCATATCCCTAGAAGTGGTGGCCATCCATTTGTTTAATAGCCAGGTCATCCCCAAGAACCGGACTTCCAGGGACACGAGACCCATTCAACAGGGAGTCGTGGCTGGTCGCTCCCATGAGAGTGCAGTTCTAGCGCTCCTGAAACGCAAGGCATCAAGTCCATGATGCAAGAATCGAAGTCATTCGGTCCATACGTTCATGTTCGAACATGGTTTTCCAGGCCTCGGCTTCTCCAGTTGCAGTTCACCTACTAACTGTAGCGACACTCGCAACAGTTGTTTTCATGAATGTTCATCCCCAAAGTTGACAGTCAGCATATCATCATCACGACCAAGGCTAGATCGACTCGTGGAATGTGCTTGTTACCAATCACAACGTGCACAGCTCATCCTACTCGGGGAAGAAAACCCTAAACCCTAAACCTTACCTGCACAGCTCTGCCTGTTGGGTTTTGTGATTGCCTTCTGTACCTACCGGCCCTACGCTTGCCCACTCGGCCCAAGGTCACTGTCACCCACGGACGGTGCAATTTTTGTTGCGATCGTGCGCTGGGGTGACGTTTCCATCGCTCAAAGGCTGGACGATGGCATGCCAAACAACATCCTCATTCTGCCGGTGGCGCGCACGGTCCTTTCGCTGCCAAAAGGGGGGAGGGAGATGGAGGGGTGGGTGTGATGATGAGTCAGATAGAGTGAGAATGGGAGGAATCATGGACCGAAGACGGACAGACACCTGAAGGACGAGAACCAGGTCGTTTGAGGAAAAGAAGTCCAGGGTAGACCATCCAAGGGATGCCCACTGCAGGCTTTGGATGTAGTTCAGGGTAGTCAGGTCGCTCGGCACCGGCATAGACCGTCGACCTGTAGACTCTCGATTCATCAAACCTACGAATATGTGTCATCATTTGGCATGGGTTATCAACCTCTTCACGTGGGGGCTTGAACTATGACGAGAGTCTACATTAAATCATTACATCCTATATATATATATCGATGTCCCCTACGTGGCCTTGCATTCGGGCCCGAGCCAATGAAAAGAGTTGAGCTTTCTTCTTTATCATCGGGACGGCTGTGGAGGTCGAAGGATCCTTCGGACAGTTGATGTCCATTGTCCATCTAAGTTGAACCTCACCTTGGTCTCCAGCACTGCAGAGGGGCAGGACCTGGTCTACGCAGCGATGTGGCTTGGCAGATAGCACGGCTATTGCGAGTGGGAATGGATCCACAGTGGTTTCAGAAGTGGAAGGCACAACCCCCAAGACATGCTTTAGATGGGGGTTGATCTAAGGGGATTGTACCATCTACTCACACACCCCATCTACCAATGGGCGGTCGTAACCTGCACAGCTTCACTCCGGAAAAATAAGGACAGACCCCCGGTCTCTGGCACCGGTTGGAGGACGTTTAGCCTCTTCTCCAAATTCTGAAGAAGGCTGGGGTGATGCATCCAACGAACTGCATGGTGGGAGGTGTGGCCGTACTGAAAAGGGTGGTCCACCCTGAGGTACGGAACCTTGAGGCCACTTGGTGAGTGATGCTCCTTCCCAGTACCTTTCCCAGAGCCTCAGTGACCTCTGTTTTGTTTATGGGAAAAAGATCACGTTTTGCATGATTTTTGCGTTGCCGGTGATCCAAAATAGAGGTCAAACGGGCTCTAGGGTGATACCCTCCTTCACTCACCCCTTCTGATTTAGTCCACAGATTCTTTCTTCTATCTGCCCTCCGGGCAGGAAGCCTGGGCTTCAGACTCAGTCCATCAAAGCGAGCTGCAGGTCGGCTGAAGTGTTCTTTTCAAAGGGGGAGGCTCAGAGAGAGTTCCAAATGTCCGAAGTTTAACGTCCACCCGAAATGGCTCATCCCCAACTTGCCTTCCCATTTGGGGGGAACCCCATCATGGCAGAGGTGTTCAGCTCGCTGGATGGCGCTCACCTGTTGTTTTGGCGCTCACCCCCGCCAGCCGGGCGCCAGCGCCGAGGCTGATCATTGTGACCCCCGAACTTTTGCTGAGCCTTCACCCCTGGCAGCTTAGAGTCTTGGATCAGGCGCCTCTTTCGCTAGTAAGAAGCTACTAGGGGCTCCTGGCCTTTCTACTGGGAGCAAGAAGCTACTAGGGTGGAGGCCATTGCTATTAGGTTGGAGGCCATTACTACTAGGAGCAAGAAGCATCGCTACGAACGGAGCAATCGGACGCCGCAAGAACACCGCCCCCCGGACCACGCACGCTCTACACCGGGCGCCTAACCGGAGTGATGCCCGGCGGACAGAACGTGCGCTTTCGCTCCGTGGCGAAGGCCTTTACGGTCATTGACTCCTCCTTGGAGATCCCCTCTGCTCCCATGCGCGGGTCCAGGAACACTGGCAGAGCGGAGGGCTGGGCGGTGACGGTGTGCGGAGGTGACGGTGTTTGAGGAGCACAGCCTGTCTTTTCGGGGACCTCGGGCCGGGAATGGTGGGCATCTCTGGGCATTTTGCTTGTGTTTCAAGGGGTTTGTCCAAAAAACTGAAGTGGCAATTGGATCCCTGACAAACAGACAGGTTGTTTTCCACTTCTGTGTTCGTTAGCCGGAGTATGAGTATGAGTATCAAGAAAAGACAAGGATTCATGAGGCTTGGGTTTGTGAGGCTTTTCAGCTGTTCTCTTTCGGTTCCAGCAGAGGGACCCTGGTCCCAGTGATCTCAAGACTTAGCAACGCTGGTGCCTCTCAGTTGAGAGGGAGGGTTTCGTCCCAAAACCGCTGAATCATGGGCTTTCAGGAGTCTCTTCCCACCTCTTTGGAGTCTGGGCTCCATGATCTCGAAGCTGGTGCAGTGTGAGTACACTTGGGGTACACTGAGTACGCCCCATGAGAGCCGTTCTTTTTCCACCCTTTTGGGGTCGTAGCTGGGGTTGGCCGCACTGCCGGAGAGACGGGAGGGTGTGGAGACCATCCACCGAGGTCTGCCGAGTTGCAGGCCGACAATCCCACACTACGGTATCTCACAGCACCTCAGAGGGGCGACTTGGACAGAAATTGCCACCTTTCCATCGGAAGGAGGCCATGTTTTGGTTCGGTTTGTTGCACGGATTGGGACGGATTGGGGATTGGGTTCCTCCAAAGAGCAGAAAACCACCAGCTGACATCAGGAATTCTTGGATGAAGAGAGCTTCCAGTGTGATGTCATTTCCTTAGATCCAGGTGACTGTAGTCAGAAACATGTCGCACCCTTCAGACCGCAGCTTAGATCATAGGTGGGGGCATTAGATGTGAGTAGGGAGTAGCTTGACCTTGACCTCCTGGCCTGCAGGTGCACCTCTTCAGGGCGAAGAGAATTTGGTCTCGATGGGCCTTTACCAAGGAGGTCTGCCTTTTCCAAGGAGACTGCGATCAGATCAGTTTCCTACCTGGGCCCCTTACCTGGAAGTGTCATAGCTCCTTCAAGGTTAAGGGGCCCCTCCAAGCACCACCCCTTGGTTGGGGGGCCCTGGTGTGGGCAGAACCTGCTCACATCGCTGGGTCACGTGGTCGCTTGGAGCTCGGTCAGCTCGAAGGTGAAGCAGCGACGGTCGCCATCCAGGCGACGAGAACGGATGTGGGCGTCAGGCATTTTGGCATCCCTGGGCTTTCAGGACTCTTTTGAAACTGGTTGACCTGGTGCTGGAGTCGAGAATCCTTCGTAGAACCATGGTTGTTCAGTAAAGGCAGACTATGAAATCAATGGTGGTTGAACATATAGGGCCTTAATATAGGAATTAATATAGGGTAGTGACATCGAATCATCAAATCCTATCTCAGACACTCCAAAACTGGACCTGGCATGACCTGGCACATATTGACCAATGAAGCTGCCCCTGTGCCCCAAGGCAGCTCAATATTGCCATTGCCATATCTTGAAAGAGGGAGTGCTTTGCCATGTGTGGTATGTCTTGCATTTTCGTCCATTCGTGTTCAATTCATGCGGACTTCGGCACGAAACCACGGTCACCGGTCACCAGCGTACGACGGTATGACAGTACGCAGTGCTTCCGGAGCTCAGGTTGTGACAGGATCCCTTCGTTTCCGTGATGCGATGAGAAAAACAACATGCACCATGACATCCAACGCAAGAGAGCGAGATCCTCAGGATCTCAAACCACTCAATACATCTCAAGACATGAGTATACGGATGCTAACATTTTTGCAGAAAAAGGTTCTCAACAAATGTTCTTCACTCATTCACTCGTGCTGAAGCACCAGCAAGCCTGAGATACCGATCCAGCAAGGCCACTGCCCTGGAGTTCCGTGGAAAGACCTGGATCCTTCAACTATGCAAGATCTCCGCTTTATGATATCAACAACGCCATACAACACTATATAATATAGTGATCCCCTAAATAGATAGAAACGGTTTGCCAATATATCTTTAATTAGTGGGGATCTACAGTGGCGGGATCTACTTTCTATCTATTTGGAGGTGTATTTACACATTATAATTAAGCTACGTTTAGGGCATGCAGGAATATTGCACAGTTGCAGGATCCATGTCTACTTCTCCTCCCAGGATTGATTCGTGACGCGCGCACACGCGTATGAAATCGCGCGGTTCTGCAGGTGATTTTGAATCGTCGCATCCGGACTTTGAGGATGCTGGTTCGGGGGCCCAGGTCGGCAATCCACCCAGGTCGGCAATCCATCAGCGGCTCAGTCAGCGCTAGGCTCGGAGACGCCACGCGGAAGTCTCCGCGGAAGTCTCCCCAAGTTTCTGGGGCGGTGATTAGAATTAGAAGGAACCTGCGTCGTCAGGGATTTCTGCGCACCCCGCAGGTGCCCCGCTTTTCTAGGGGCCAGTAGGTACTTCGAAGGACCATCCGCCTTCCAAGGAAGGACCATCCGCCTTCTAAGACCGCTTTAAAGATGGTTGAGTTGAGCTGTTGTTGTGTTGGCGCTCTTTTGTACAAGAAGGCGAACGTGCGAGATTACCTTAAATCGGTGGGCGGACGACGAATGGATGAAGAATGGGACAGCTCCACAAAGACGAATCAGCTGGATCAGCTGGATTGGGGACACCCACTCAACAAGACTAGCTGGGCAAAGGTTCACCTCTATTTTTCATGCAACCCGACGGCCTGAAGGCGGTTCGGGTGTTCTTGGGATTTCTTGGGTGGTCAATGCTGAGAGATACTGAGACCTCCAATCTGTAGTCCTGCTGATCGGTATTCTTGCACTTCTTGCTGTGAGTTGCAAGCCACGCTTTTGAGCAAATGGTGCCATTCCCTGCAACCCCTCCTGTGAGCCACAGATCATTGGCGCACACTGCCACGACAGGAACATACTCGTACCAAATTTGTTGAGGGTAAAAGATGGTAAAAGTTTGCTTTCCTTTTTCAACATACGCCCATTGTGATCAAACCATTTGGTGCCTACGGGGGAAACCCAGGCCGATTGGACCTTCGCCTCGCTGATTGGGAGGGGTCCTCGCTGGATGGCGCCAGGATGGACGCCATGGGGTGGTTTTCACTCTACTTCCAGTCAATGGACGTGTATCAAGTAGAGTCGATCTTGGGAAGAGGGATCCAAATGGAGCCGATCTTGTTAAACTCTCGCCCGATCCAGTCGATCTTGGGTGGAATTCGTTGGATGTTCTTCTCTCGATCGAGGTCTTTTTGATGCCGGAGGGCTACCGCCACGACATTCAGCATGCGAATCAGCGCCCGGACGGCACATGTGGAGCTGGCGCCACATGTGGCACATCGAGCGTGTTCGGATCCCCGAAATCCCCCCATGGGACTGCTGTATTGGCCGATGAGTTGGGGTGGCTTGCGGGCTCAATGTAATGAAATTGGCAGTCCCATGAGGTGGCTTGGGGGTGGATGACCGAAAAACCCTTTACTGTAAATTCATATCATTAGCTGCCGCGATTTGGCGGGCAGCGAAAGCTTTGCTTTTCTTTCGGACCCGTGCCGAACAGAGAACCCGAGCTTGGAGCGAGCCGGGAGGTTCCCCCAACCTCGACAGCTAGTTGAACCCTTTTTGGGGGATTGGTGCCCCCATGTGTTCCCAAAATCCAAAAAGGTTAGTTATACCTTGTGTTCGGAAAGTGAGGGGGTCAGGGGCATGTTTTGGTATCGTTTCTTTGAGGCTTGGCTTGGTGGAAGGTGTCAAAACACCAGCTAAATCACCACGAGCAAGACCCACCAGCAGCCTCAACAAAAAACGGGTTACTATTTCAATAATAAATATATAGGCGATTTTTTAAACCTTTAGTTGATATGAATGACAGATCCCACTGACTCACATTCTTCACGTGAGTTGCAACCACCAACCCAAAAAGCTAGAAACAACCAACCATGACCCTCCAATCGAAGAACATGTATATATATCACCACCCTCGGCGGTGAGCTCGCATGAGTTGAGCTCTGAAATTCCTTAAGACTCACTGACTTGGAGTCTCTTGCGATTTGTTTGCTGCATTCCCGTCTGGTCTTGATCGTGATACCCAGACCATCCATGTCTGGAAGAGTTACCTAGATTGGAGTCATTTTCATGGGGTAAATGTATGTATAACTATTCCAGTCCCAGGGATGGTTTAAAATATGTTATATACTATACCCAGATCCCAGGCAGCTATGGCCCTGGCTTCGATCTACGGCTTTAGTCATTGGAACCACTGCACGGTGACCAGCGATTTCTGAGAGTTCCAACATGACTCATGAACTACCCCAAACTGGTACTGGTAGTTGGTGGATTGTGACTACAAGTTGGAGTAAAATGAGTCAAAGCGGAAGTTCCGGGTATAATGGTATCCACTGGGAGAACTTAATAGTATTGCTGATGGCTCATGCAGGTCCACCTCTCGATGTTGAACCCCAATGATGCAGGTCCGAGTTTGGCAGACCGCGAGTGATGTTGAAAGACTTCACGAACCACAGGACCCGAGAGGGAGAGGTCTTTGATACATTGGAGTCAAGAACGACCATTTGGAAGTTGGGCGAGTGGTGCTCGAGGCTGGAGCTGGCAAAGATGCTGCAATGACATGACAATGGGGCAACTGCTTTGTAAATTGCAGCCCAGACTTGTGCGATTGTTGCTCGAGGCTGGAGCTGACAAGATGCAGCAATGGCAGATGGGACAACAGCGTTTCACAAGCAGCAGATGCCACCATTTTCTTTTCTATCTATACGCTTGTGTTGTGCCGAAGCTCTGGGCATTGCCTGTGTATTAACCTGGGACATATGCCTTTGTCCTTTGTCCACCTTCTCCAACGCCCACAGGCATCAATAGATAGTCAAGTGTAAAAACACCCATGCCCCATGGCCCATTAGGTTGAATGGATTGGTTTATACAAGGTAAAACCTGGGGCCCAAGCTATAGGTGGGTTTCCTAAGCCTAAATCTTTCCCTTAAACCAACGCTGGGATTGGTTGATGTGCCATATCACCCGGAGAAGCACCTTCCAGACTCAGACCCTGCCTTAGATGTCCCCTTGTTGGACCAGAGCTCGACCTTTCGTTACCCGTAGCCATTCAGAAGTGATCCTCGGGGTGCAGTTGGGTGGAAGCGAATTTTCCGACTCCCTCCGAGTCCGAACATGTTCTTGGGTGGTTGGAGCCCCGCTGTTCTATAGAGGAGAGTCGTTCCAATGAGGATATATATTCACTCCAAGACTCCCAGTTCGTCGTGTGCCTTTTTCATCCTTTTTCCAATTGCGTTGTACATCAACCAAAACCCATTGGCGGGGCGTTCCCCTATCAACATACACACCCATCCAAGGCAGGTCCTTGACATCCAACGATCAAAGGATTAAGATTTTTGGATGGTTGAAATTGCCTGGGGCAATACGATTTATAAGGTCTATAAGATTCAATTACAGTATAAGGGCTCCACGATCTATAATTGCCTGGGCAATCCTTCCCTTTTGGTTCTCTATCAGGTTATAATACGATTTCACTGCTTTTCAGGATGCAACAAGCGCGTCTAGGTGTCATTGGAACCTCCAAATGTGACACATGACTGAAGAACCATCCATGGGACTGGCATATTTGCTTGGATTCACCCCTGAAACCACCCCAATGCATGTAGATATGCCAGTCACACTGAGTGTTTGGGTACTGAACCTTGTTCGGCACTGGGACTGGAACCCGCGAGGCTGGCAAATATCAACAAGAACTTCCCGGTGGGGGCCTCAACTGATGCAGGGCAAGAGACGGGTCGGCTGCATCCTGGTCAAACGAGCAAGCAGGCAAACTCTCAAGCTTCTTCAGAGTGGCCTGAACTTGTCAGAGTAGATGACCACTCCTGGCAGCTCTGGTGGGGCTTTCTGTGGCTGGTGTAGACGACAGGGGTGACGATGGAGAGAGGGAAGAGAGAGTACACGTCCTCCCCTAGGGATCCAAGTACCTCCTCAAAAGGTCAAGCTACTTGGACCCTCCTGCTTGCACCCAGTCCCCGTCCCACCTTCGAGTTACGAGGGTACGTCTGGATCCATCCTTAGGGCCGCTGAAATAGTCATGGAAGTGGAGTTCATCCTTTCGGACAGAGGGTCATGGTCATCCTTTTCGTCCTTTTTCGTCCTTCTGGGGCCGTTTTCCATCCACGTTGGCGATGTTGAGAGTGGATCCGACCTTCTTTCGTTGCTGAAACAGGTGTGATCCGATCTGGTTCTGACCCTTGCCCGCATGCTTACTGCTGCTTTTCTTCTTCCTTATTTTTGGTCTGCATGTCTCAGATTTTTTTAACAATTAATTCAACTAAGTGCAACTGCGCCACCTCGACATCATAGGTCAATTCTGAAGGGCCAGCTGTCCTTCTTAAGAGCCTCATTCTTGACGACTTTAGGACCTTGAGGAGGTTTTGCGGCACGAACGCCCCGGCTGTGGACCCCAGCCCGCCCAGCTCCCGGCAGCTTCCGCTTCCGCGGAAGCGGGAGGTCGCCATCGAGCGCGAGTGGCGAGACTCCTCAAACTTGCGCCGGGCCGGGGGAGCCGAGTCCGCGCACCGGGCGGGTGATCGCGCACCCGGAGGGTATGGGATGGCAGAGTGACATAGTCTATACCGAAATTGAAGGTGCAATGATAGACCGTTCAGCTTACAAAGGCAATCAAAGGCATTTTACATGCATGACAAAAACATCCCGAACATCTGTACCAGCCCATGCCAATGTCCTGACTGCCTTGGGAGTCAGGACTAAGTAGCTGCAGAGTAACAAGTGCATCGCTATTAGTAACTAAGAGCATTACTGCTATAGGCTATGGTATATAACAAGAAGCTACTAGCAGCGATGCCCTTGTTACTAGTAGCTTCTAGCGAGGCTTGACCTGGCTGGACCTCCCTCCTCGCGCGCGCGTATCGCGCCCAGGTCCGCGTGATCATCCAGCCGACCACCGTGTCGTCGGGCACCTTCGAATGGACACTGGGCCGAAAGACCGGAGAGACGACGACGCCCGACGACGAGCGGTTTCTGGGTGGTTGTTCTTCTGCAAGCGGAGAGGCGTATGACGAGGCGTGTGATGACGAGGTGTGCAGAAGACCTGGTAGGGCACGGCGAGTAGGGCACAGCCCTGCTTGTGTTAGATTGCGGGCGGATCTTCTAAGGATTATTATGTACATGCCAACACGGCATGAACGCTCTATCATCCACAAGTGCTGCATTTGGGTGAGCGGATCATGGCACTCTAAACCATGAAGCACCCAGAGAGACCACTCCCGGCACTCCCCCGTGACACTTCGCCGCCCCCACCTCGTGACGCTTCGCCGCCGCCCCAGGCAGTTCCCGGTGATCGTGGCCCCAAGCCGACCCATCAACACCGAGTGGTACGTGCCTCGCAGAAGAATGGCGTGTGGACGCGAAGTCCGTCGACGTCGACGCCGACGGTGTTTGGTCGATGGGCCTTGAGGTCGGGTCCTTGGGCATAGGGGAGGAGCCATCGGTGAAGGTTTAGGGTTCCTGGCCCATCTCCGGTGGTTGGACCCCCCAAACCCACCTCAAACCCACCCCAACCACCTCAGGAGGTGGTTGGAGCCCTAGGGATCATATGGGATCATTGAGCAAGAGTCCAAATTAGGTGGAAAATCTGCGGCAAGGCATCCCCAGTGGGTAACCCTCCTTTTCAATGCATCGCAGCGTGCCAAAACTCACAAGGCTGGTGCTAAACGGCCATCACACTACCAGCTTTGGTATTTAAATCAGAGTTGCCTTGGGTGCAGACATTTCAAGGGGACTTTAGACGATTTGGGATATTTGGGGTGTGTTTTTTCTTTTGTTCGCTGCGGTTCCTGACGCACTGCATTCTGGTTCCAGTTCGGGTCCTTCCATACCTGGTTCTGGAACCATCCGCCTGTGAGCCCACCTCCTTTCACCCCACCGCTGAGACGGTCATTCTGACTCCCCGTTGCGCCGACGCGTCCGAAACCGCTCCGCGCTGGTTGCGTCTCAGAAACCCCACCGCGACGCGCGGGTTGCTTCGCGGCGATGCTCCACCGGGCGACGGCAGGTGTTCTTTTGCAGCGACTACAGCTGCACTGAGATGAGCGACCCGGCTCGGTCGGACGATCCACCGCCTGGACAGCCGTGACGTTCGCGTGGGGGGTCGGCCGGCCTGGAGCGAAGCAAGCGGCTTGGGGCCGAAGTGGTCCCAAGCGGTCACCTCCTTAGAACCCCTACAGGTCTGACCTCATTTCACTGGGTCCGGTCATGCAAAACCAGCACTCCATGTCCTTGGTCCCTGGCCCTTGGGCTGGGATGGTATCGTTAGACACTGCAGACCCGAAGGCATCCAGTCCCAGTGCCCTCACGCTGCGACCCGGGGCGGATCTCAACGCCATAGTGGGTGTGGCAGGCCTTGGACTCCGTCAAGCCACCTCGGGGAGCAGAGGAGGGATGTCGATGGGACGAATGGGGCCACATGTGTCACCATGGCTCCATTTGCTATGATTTGCTGGGGAAGTGGTCCCAAGAACCTTTCGATCATCTAATTACGCCATATTACGCATGTGGTTTCCAACGGCTTGCAACAGACACTCCGGCGCACTCACATGGACGTTTTCCACTTCCGTGTTCGTGAGTCAGTGTGTACTTTTGGACCGTGATTTCATCGAAGACTTGACCTTGAGGGGTAATTACTCCCATACACTCCATGTATGGAATATATGCCTACATTGACCCCTGAAACCACCCCAATGTATGCAAATATTCCATACATTGAGGAGCGTCTGGGACTGATATCAGTGATGTCAGCTGTGAATTCCAGCTCTCATCGATCTAAAGCACGACTTCAGGGAGTCAATGACTATAGCCAAAGAAATGGTCTTTAGGGGACCTGAAAGGGACATCCTTTACTTCACGAAGCACAAGCGTCTGAGCTTCTAGGAGCATGCAAGACTTCAGGGCCCAAACCATCCCGGACAGTCTTTTGACATTGACTCCACAGTCCTCACCCCGCCAAGGTGACCCCTCGGTCTTTGTGGTGTGCCACGCTTAGCTCCAGCTCCGCCTTCCCCAACGAAGTCGCGTCTGAACGAGCGTTAAGTAAGCGCGATGTTGGGGTGTGAACCCTACCTTTGTCCAGTTCGGCTCATATTTGGCACCTCCGACGGGATCAGGACATTCGAGTCACCGCGTTACCGGGTCGGCAGACCCTTTTTTTAACATACTTGAGCTCCCAGGTTGTAACGCCTGAGGAGGCGTAGCATCCCCCAAAACCCTACAGAACTTGGAGTCGGTACGGATGGCGCAGAAATGGGCGTCACGGATCGCTGAAGGCATTTTTTGGGGCATCGATCTTGAAGGGTTCCGAAGATCTTCGGGCAGTGAACGATTCTCCCCCCCTCCCCAGGACAAGTGGATGACACGGGATAACCTGATGCAACCTGCAATTTTTGTTGGGGGGGAGATTGTTTTTTTTTTTTTCATGGTTTTCCCATTGAACCAAGACGTGGAAACAAGGGTTCATGGTCATTCTTTGCCCTGCTGAAGCTGAGGGAAGCTGAAGTCTGTGACAGGATCGGCGCGGGTGAACCGCCGACTCCTGCTTGAAATGCTGGACCTAAAAAGCCTTCAACAAACTGACGTGACCTTCTCTACTAAACTAATTGGCAGCCTGGAGTAGAGACTATGGGGAAATGCTTCTTTCGTCGCACCTTGCGAGGATCTGACCACCTGATCTGACATGATCTGACCATTTTTGGAGCTGCTAGATGAAGCTACTCCGACTCTCCCCATGTTTTCGAAGGAATGCCTCCCCTCCGCTTCGCCTCCCCTCCGCTTCGCCTCGCTCCTGTTCCACAGGTTCCCGGTGCCCGACTTCCAAGAGAAGCGCCCGGCCAAGTCCTTTGGGAGCTTGATGGTGGCCGGCGCGGGCAGGCGAGGCCAATCGGGGGTGGGGGCGGGGCAAACGATGTCCGGCCCCGGTTGGACGGAAAAAAAACCATGGTCAGGTTGAGGTCAATTCTGGGCCGGGTGGCTGAAAGACTGGAGAAGACTGGGAGAAGACTGGAGAAGACTGGAGGCTGGGATCGACGTGGTGTGTTTTTGGGTTTGCAAACGGTGCTTTGTCTCCGGGTGCTTAGCGCAGATTGATGGATGTGTGTTTTTTCCTGGTGAAGAGGGCCAGAAAACCCTTCTTCTCTATGGAGGCATTATAGAAGTGGTGCGCGTGGAGACCCTCCCACCATTCGAACTTTAAAGAAATCTCTAAGACTCCAAAAGTCGATTGCTGAATAATTGCTAGATTGTATTCTCCATCCCCTCCCTCTCCATCTCCATCCCCTCCCCCTCCATCTCCATCCCCTCCCTCTCCGACCTTCTGATCCCTTCTTTGGGACCAGCCAACATGCTATTTGCCATACCATTGCTATTTGCCTTTTGTTACCCCGTGTTCTTTCCGTGCACTAAATACTCCTTGGCTCGATGCGGCCGCACGAACATGAGGCGTCTCACTGCCGGCTGCCCCGCACTCAGTGCTGTTTTCGTGTCGGACCTGGGAAGCCCAAGGAGGAGCTCAGAGTTGGGTGAGATGAGGTAGTATCAATATCAAGCTGAGATTCCTTGAGCCCTCCACGGCGGGGTTTGGGCCTTCAAAACTTCCGTTTGAGGGCCCGGATTCTTATGGAGGGATGCATGGTGGGAAATCTCAGTCATCTCAGTCATTTTATCTCCAACAGAAGTTTCATTCCATCCTGAGAAGGCACTTGGACCTGTGTTTCGCTTTGTGTTTCACTGTGGCTCCAGCCAATAATAGATGAGCTGCATTACATGGTGGAAAGCGGGCAAGCTGTTCGAGACCTCAAGCGACGTCTTTCAGCTCAGGTTGGGTGCTCAAGGTTTCAGCAAAGACTCTTCAGGGACGAGATTGGCGAATTGGAGGATGACTTGCCTGTACGAATACTATCAAGTGTACAGGTGGTAATTCTGCCCTTGTGTGCCCCTGATGACAACTATGGAAGAAGAACTTTTCGAGACCTGCAGGGAGAATCGCGTGGATCACCTTGAAAGGCTGCTTCAAAAGCCACTGGACCCCAACGGGCAAGGTTTGCTTCTTATTGCTGCCCAGGAGGGCCACTTGGAAGTTGCGCGATTGTTGCTCGAGGCAAAAGCTGACACAGGTGCAGCAGATGCAAATGTGGTAACTGGTGCAACGGCTTTGCACATTGCACATTGCAACGGCTTTGCACATATGCCCAGAACAACCAGTTGGAACTTCTACGATTTCTGCTTGATGCTGGGGCGGACCAAGATGCAGCAACATTTGATGGGTCAACGGCTTTGAATACTGCAGCTTATTATAGCCACCAGGAAGTTGTTCGATTGTTGCTCGAGGCAGGAGCTGACACGCATGCAGCAGCAGAGGCTGAGGCACCAGGATTGCTCTTTGCAGCCCTGAAAGGCCACTTGGAAATTGTGAGATTGTTGCTCGAGGCTGGAGCTGACAAAGATGCAGCCAATGCACATGGGGCAACGGCGTTGCATCTTGCTGCTATGAATGGCCACCTGGAAGTTGTACAATTGTTGCTGGACGGCGGAGCTGACAAAGATGCAGCCCACGGCCTTGGTCAGTTGCTGGAGCAGCCAACAGATGCTGTCCACATTGGGGCAACGGCTTTGCACATTGCAGCCCAGAACGGCCACCAGGAAGTTGTTCGATTGTTGCTGGAGGCTGGAGCTGACAAAGATCAAGCAGACCTTCAAGGTCAAACGGCTTTGCAGTTGCTGCCATGAACGGCCACTCTGGAGTTGTGCGATTGTTGCTCAAAGCAGGAGCTGACACAGGTGTTGCAGATGCAGATGGGGCAACAGCTTGGCGCATGGCAGTGCAGAAAGGACACTTGGAAGTTGTGCGATCGTTGATGTACTATGCCATACGTAACTATTTGTAACATATTGATACTTGCGTGCTAGTTTCAATCCAGGGCAGGTACTGGGTTCAGAATTTGATTGATGTTCAAAGTGCTATGACTCGTCTTCCAGAAGTTTGCTGCACAAAAAGACCAGCGCAGCAGGCCGCGGAGTTGTGTGAGCCCAATTGGAAGAAGATATGGCAACTGGACCCAGAGATCACCCCAAACCAGCCCCAAAGACCCTCTCAGAAGTTTATAAAGTTTGTTGGCCACTTGTCAGTTGGTCCTGTCCGGCTGGGCTTCATCCAAGTTCGTACGGGCAGTTTGTACGGGTCAGACATACATCGGAAGCCTCCCATGGGATTTGCTCGTGTTTGAGAACACTCCGAGTCACTGGCATGGAATGGCAAGACCCATGAAAGCCCTGGCATGATGGAAGATGGCAGAAGATTGTCCTCCATCAAAAATGCGATTCACTCCCATGTTGATCAGATTGCAGATGAACTTTCGGTCGACCACTTGAGATGGATTTTGTTGACCATCGCTATTAGGTTGGAGGCCATTGCTAGGTTGGAGGCCATTACAATTAGGGACCATTTTGCACATGTAAACATATGCATGTGCTTTCCCTTTGAGCCTTTGAGGCTTTGGATGGCTGTATCTTGGATGGCTCTGCTATCTTGCAGCTTCATGAAGGCCTGGCAGGTCTTTGCCCCCCCGTTTTTCTGCAAGATATTGGACATGTGAATCAATTGGCTGGGGGGGTTGGATGTTTTTTGGGAACAATGCATCATTGAAGCATAGTTGATCAACATTGAACGATGGCATTGGCTGCGTCACGTCGGTCTTTTGGACCACTTGTATCACATCCCACCGCAGAATGGCCACGTGACTCGCGACCGGTCGCTTCACGTTGTTCGTTTGTCTTCCCCGTTGGGGGACTCACTCACGGCTCATGGCTCCTCACCTCGCGGTCTTCCCGTCCGACGGATGAGGTCGGTCCGAGAAAGACGGAGCGTCTTCAGGCCCCCCTGATCGGAGGAACGTCCGGGCTCTCACACGTCAGATGCCCAGTAGCTAGGTGCAGAGGGTATTCTGCAGCAGACTAAGGCACTTATAAGTGATATGTTTGTTTTCTGGAGGATCATCCCAGCTTGTGAACAAGTCCTGTGACACATGGTCGTTCACCTGAAAAGGCCATTGGTCGTTCACTTGTCGAAGATGTCTTCGCCTGCTGCAGGATCCTGCTTTCACGGATGTTGGGCCGATGTGTTCGTTCCTTCATCTGTTCGAATTCAATGGCCACGGGTGGGTCGAATGAGGTTCTTTCACCGGGGACCTCACTCAGACGGTCGGAACAAGCCCAAGCTCTGAGAGGTCAACATGAGGGTTTGGTGCTTGGGGGATATATTATCCGCGCCATAGGAATGGCTGAGGAGGCCCTTGGCAGTACCTCTTGCAGTGGGGAGGCCTTTGGCATGTATGGGTGGGTATTGTTTGATTTTGATGTTGATCGTAAGGTCTGTAAAGTCAGAGGGCAGGTGTGAGCGGCTTCGTGGTTGTGTGCATTTATGAAGCCTGCCCTGCTGGCTTACTTACTGGGTGTTTCGATGCCCATAACCCGGAACATGATTTGCTTCACACAAGTGCTAGGCGCAGGTCATGAATATATGTTCATTCCCAGGCTTGCTAGGACTGGGAAAAGCTGGCCCGTCCCCTCTTGAGCTAAAGGACCAATTGATCTGCCATAAACAAAGGCCAAGTGAGGCGTGCCACTCCTCGGGTCAGCGCGAGCAGGTGCAATCATGATCGTTGGATGTTGGATGCATCGACGGAATTCTCGTCGTTCGACACTTTGGCTAAGCTACATCCAATCAATATTTGGGCACTTGAGTTTTTTCAGTTTGATTCCGCAATATTGTACTGATCAGCTGGCTGGTGTTTGGAGTTGTCTTTAGTTTTCTTAATTATGCATTCTTATGCAGGTTTAAAACAGGAATGACACCGGCAACCGTGTAGGTAGTACATGTGGAGATATCAGTTGTTTCAGGCCACATGCTGTCAGACGGTCTCCTGCGAGGCGATGACCGTGAGTTGCAGTTCGCCTGCGAGAGCAGAGAAATGACCTGCAGCATGGGAAGAGCGGGACCTCCAGCCTCAGGACAATGGACTACCCAATTCCTCAGAGCTTCTCACATGGCATCCCGAACAACCCTGGAACAGAAGTGCAAATCTTATAAAGCAGAAGAGCCCAGCAGACCAGCAGGAATGAACATCGATTTGCTTTTGCCCTTTGGCCAATTCTGAACTTTTAAGCCATGTTTGTGACAGGCTTTGCTTTCCGGTTGTGTGGTGTCAGTCCGGCCCCCCCGACCACCACTTGTGTTTGCACACACCGATTCAGCCAAGCACTCCAAGGCTGCCAAGTGGACGAAGCCACCTGGCGAACCGCGGCTCCGTCGCCCAAAGGTTGGAAGTTCGCCTCGCAGGTTCCACTCCACCCCATACACTCCATGGGACTGGAATCTATCCCCCCCAAACCAGCCCCAAAGTAGGTAAATATACCATACCGGCACCTCCGACAGGTCACCAATTGAAACCTGTTAGGGCCTCCAGGGGGGGGAGGTTGGTTGGTGACTCCAATCGGGACCTAAAGCAAGACAATGACAATGACTCTTATAACACTCCCTGACTGGTTTTTTCGGACATCGATGTTCTTTTTCTCCATTCCAACTGGGTACATCCTCTAACCCGTCTTGATGCCTGCCCGGCCCCAAACTCCATGGCGAGTTACATGGCATGGCGCTCCGAAGACGCTGTGACGCGACCACGCCGTGACGCGACGCCGTGGCCATCCCCGACGTCCACCTTCAACCTGTTCCCACCGCGAGTCGACGCGACGGGAGGAACGGGATGTTGGAAGACTTTGAAGGAGGGTTTTCCATGTTTTCCAGGCTTTGGGTGGCTTCTGTTGGCTTTTGGCTTGGCTTTTGGTGGCTCCTGTTGGCTTTCGCGGCGTGGTGGGGCCCCTTACTCCAAAGTGACAGGGGAGGTCTCCAAGCCCAAGCGTTTGGGTGCGAGACTTCTACCAAAAGGTGCCGCCTTCAAGTGCCACGTGTGAGTGTTCCACCAGCACCGACTTCAGGTCACCAATTGAAACCTGTTAGGGCCCTAACAAACCTCCATTTCGGAGACCTGTTGGAAGGTGCTGGTATATAATAGTAATCATATATAATTTAATCAGATTTTGTCGCACTGCGGGAAGGGGGTTGGGGCAGGGCGCGGCGCCTCCCCCCAAAAGTCACCGGCTTTAAGGACGGTTTGTGCCACGGTTTGGTCCAGAGCCTGCAGCATAGATTGAACATCTATAGGCATCCACCGCGGCAACATGGCAACTGTACACTGTACACCTTAATGGAAAACAACAGCCTCAGCACTCACCCACAAAGCACACAGACTCGAGAGTTGGCCACATCCAGCAGTACAATGCCTACAATGCTCACCCTGCAGCAGCATAGTGCTCACAGCACCGGCCACTGCAGGCAGCACAGCTTTGCAAGCTGGCTACATGCAAGCAGCACAGTGCCCACCACACTGGCAAATTTCTCATAGGAGCCACGAAAACCCAACAGAAGCCGCCCAAAGCCAACCAACATGAAAAAACAAGAAACGCACACCCAGGCCCTGGGCCTCGAAGTACCTTCTGAGAAGGTGTTTGGTGTGGGTCTGGAGGGTCCAAATACCTTCTGAGCTCAGGTAGTAGCGTCCTTGCTCCTAGTACGTAGTTCGGCCGGGAGCCCCTATAGGGCCTAGCGTCCTTGCTATGACGTGTGAGGTGGTACGGACAGAAGGCCGAACGCCTGGGACTGGAGCGGCCGGGACTGGAGGTTACGATGGCCTTTGGGCGAACACCAGCTTCGATGAGATGGGCGTTCACCCGAGCCTCGCCCCGGAAGCCCAGAAGGCCCTCGCCGACTCGGACGCGGGGGGAGTCGGAGATACGGGTGCCTTCTGGGTGAAGAACCCAGAAGCCGTGGATGTCACGAAAGCTAGCCTTAGCTAGCTGGAGTTGCTCTTGCTTTAGCAAGTTAAGTGACGGGGTGGACGCACCTCAGAAACCTCAAATAATTGATTAAATCAATCTTATGGACCCCCCCCCCCGGGGTTCGACTCCCCCCTGCGCGCGGTGAGCGGGACCACCAAGCAGCTGCAGCACACCAAGCATCTGCAGTCTACCACCAAGCAGCTGCAGCAAACCACAAAGGAGCAGCAGCAGCAGAAGCAGCAGACCCAGAGCAGCAGCAGCAGCACCAGCAGCAGCAGCAGCAGCAGACCACCCCGCGCCGGCAGCAGCAGCAGCAGACGACCCGGCGCCAGCAGAGCACCCAGCGCAGCAGCGCCCAGCGCAGCAGCGGCAGCAGCAGCAGCAGACCACCCAGCGGCAGCAGCAGCAGACCACCCAGCGGCAGCAGCAGCAGCAGCAGCAGCAGCAGCAGCATACCAACCAGCGCCGCAGCAGCAGCAGCAGAGCACCCACCGCCGCAGCAGCAGCAGCAGACCACCCAGCGCCAGCAGCAGCAGCAGCAGCAGCAGCAGCAGACGACCCGGCCCGGCTAGCTTTCGTTCACCCCCTCTGGCCTCAAGTTGACACATCTCACGTAGCGGGGCTGGATGGGCTCGGCATGGCGCAAGGTTCCCAAGGTCAAGGTCACTTTTGGGGACTGATGCTCTGGCGTACTCTGTAAATCCGCTGCTGCTCCTGCAGTAGCGCAACTGTCCAGAGTCAGCGAAACGGGTGACGTGCGTGAAACTCAAGACCTTTAAGTTCACCAACCCGCTAGAAGTAACAAGGCGACCTTGGGCCGAAGGTCTTTGGTGTCGCCTTTGGCGCACCAGTCGGCGTCACGACGCTCACGCTGAGGTTTCTGCCTTGGCCACGCAGGAGATTCTACGTCCCACTGTGGTGGGGAACCATGTTGGGACAATGGAGGTTATTATCTAGCTGGTGCTCAGGAGGGGGACCCGGAGCTGGGGCATTCATGATCACCATGAAACAGGGAGTTCTCCAACCCGTTAAAAATAGTAAGAAAACATCCAGAAAACCGTAGGTTTCGCCATGTTCGCCGGTTGAGAATCCCACACTCATTGAGTTGGATGGAAGACCAACCGTGTCAACCGTGTCACTCCCACGTGAGCTGTTTTCAGCCGTCCAACATCCATATTCCCAATAAATCACATGCTGGGGTAAGACAGAAAACATGCATCAGGTTCATGGATTTGCCACGGAATTTGCCACATGTTTTTCAGGAACTGCCACCTGATTTTCATCCATGCCCAAATCCCAAAATTTGCCAAAGCAATAAGGCAGCGTTCCAGCCTTCGATTCTTGAAGCAAAAACATCATCCAAACAGAATGAACGTTGCATGTTGTTAGCAAGTCATTATGTGCAACGTGTCCACAAAGTGAGTCGCCCAATGCGGTGAGCATATTTCATATATTCAAGAATCGGTGTCAGTGGCTTAAAAGCGGCAACAGCCTGAGAGTCAAAGACTATCAAAGGAATGGTTTTTAGGGTCACGGTACCTGAAAGGGATTACTTTAATTACTGGGGTAGATTGTAGTCTTTCTAGGGAATACTCGACATGTTTTGTAGTTACATGTCCATCCCTGCTTTCGAATGCTGCTATCTCTATCTCATGGACTTGGAAGGTTCATGGCCAATCTGGGTTCTTTTGGGCTCAATCCACTTGGATCCACTTGGACTTCTGCAGCCGCTCAGGTGCAAGCAGAGGTGTCTGGGGAGCTTGGGGGCGGTTTTCGGTGCTTTCATGGCCCAAAATTCGGAACCCGGTTGGGAGTCATCAGAGTCTTTGCCCGATCGCGTGGAAGTTCAGAGGCCTTCTGCTAGAGTCTGCTAGAGGCATGGCGCCACCTGTGCTTCAATGCAAGGGAAGTGTCGCCCAGCGCCATTGGCGGGGACTGTTCGGGAGTGGAAACCAGTAACCAGTCCCGTCCCCTTCCATCCGAGTGAGCTGAAGGTTCTTTCATTTGGTTCAAGGACTATATTTTGCACCACTGAAGTATGGATTTCCCGTCTAGTGTCACCTGAAGACA